ATGGATGGATGGATGGATGGATGGATGGATGGATGGATGGATGGATGTTGGTTTGACCAAATATCAAACATTATCTGTCACTTTTCCACAGCTGAACAAGGTTCTGATTTTTTTATTAGATTCAAAAAGAGAAAACTAAAACAGGCACTCGTGGTTTTCAGGTGATGTTTGCCTGAATGAAGGCTTTAAGGGTTCAACTTTCCACTAGTGAAAGCATGAAATAAAAACATTTGCATTGACTTTGATGATGAGCATGAATATGACTGAATACTGGGGCCTCATAGTCTGCAGTAACATTGACGAGTACTGCAGAAAATAAAATAAAACTCCATGAGTGACTCACAGGAGCGCACACTTACCTGAAAGCTGAAACCCTAAAGTAACATCAGGGAAAGTAATCATTCTAAAGAGCAGAGAGGGGGAAAAAGAAAGAATAATCTGGATGATAAATGGATGGTAGGAAGAAGTGACTGTGACACTTTGAACAAAGCGGAAAAGTCATTAAAGTGTGACAGACTTAACAAATGGCAGTAGAGGAAAAAAAAGATAATGTTGCAGTGAGACAGGAAGAAGTGATGGGATCTGTGTAAATCTAAAAAGAAAAAGAAACGCAGAGCTGTCTTGTGCCCAGGAGATGAGAGCGTACTGTAAAAGACAAAGAGAAAGGCAAACCCTGAGAAAATGTAAATGAGCAGAGGGACTGTGGCACGGAGTGAAAGACAGAGCGGTGGCATGAGAAGAGAGCAAGACGGAGAAGAGGAAAAACTCCAAGACGTGTGAGAGAGAAGAGATGTGCGAGATGGAGTGGGTGTTTGTGAAGGCGTCAAACAAAGCTCGCCGAGGGGAGGGGGACATGAAGCAGGAGGGGTAAGGAGATCCACTCCACACACGGGAAGGGGAAAGGCAACAAGGACAAGGAGCAAACTACAAAAATAACGTGTTTTTCACTTTGCCTCTGAACGCATCACCTATCAGGGAGAACCCTGCATGTGAAGGCAGCGAGGGGGGGTTGAGCTGCATTTTGACTCCTCGGAGAGCCTGTCAGCTACGCTCACCATCATCTCCTCCTCACGAAGAACAAAACCAAAAACAATTTAAGAAAGCTAGAGGTAGTCTGATTCAGGCCCAACAGAAGTCCTCTCCGGACCCAGATCCGTTGTTAAATGTTAGCTGAATTAAAGGACATGTTGACTTCTACCGTATTTTTTGGACTAGAAGACGCATTAAGTGAAACAAGTTCATTTTGATGGATTTTTCAGCGTCGTGTACCACATAAAATCTGTTTGAGGTCAGTAAGCACAACCACAATTAATGCATAAGGCACACCGGATTATAAGGTGCAATATCAATGAATGGGTCTGTTTTCATACATAATGCACATTAAGCAAAACAAGTTCATTTTGACTGATTTTTGAGCGCCGTGCACTAGAGCTGTCATTTCTAACCCGAACCCGGCCCAGACCGGCCCTAAATCCAGGTTATAATGTGATTAATGTGCAGGCCGGGTCGGGCCGGTCTCGGGCTTTGAGGAAGTTTTACAAATCATGCAGCACAAAGTAAACTAAGAATGCACAATGTAAAATTGTGTTAATTTACTTGTAGAGGAGGAGGCATCAAGTTTATATGTTGAAAGGATGAAGAACGAAAGAAAGAAGAGTTCAGCAGTTAATCAGAGTGTGGAAGAGATCGCTGGCGCATTGCGCAATAATTGCGCACATGGGCTCAGGCTTCTGCGGTTTTACGAATCATACAGCATAAATAAAACTAAATGTGCAAAATAAAATAGTGTTAATCTACTTGCTGAGGAGGAGGCAGGTCGGTCCGACCGGCCGGTTTAAAGAGGTTTAAAAAAGTTGCGTTAAGCTCAGATGGACACCTGTCACTGGCCGCGGGCGTCCGCTGACCCACCGATTTGAAATGGACGTGCGATCTGTCCAGGGTGTACCCCACCTTTCACACAGTGACTGCGGACATGGGCACCAGTGATCCCCGATGCCCAAAAAGAAAGAAGTGGTATGTATGTATGTGTGTATGAATGGATGGATGGATCAGCTGATCACCGGCTGCGCGCATCTCCGCAACTGCTTTCATCTGATGTGAAGGAAGTAGCAGAATCTACAAAAGCCAAAACGAGTAGCGCGTTCAATTAAAATAGCCTCGTTCTATATTTTTCGAAATAATTTTGCTCTAAAAATAGTTTTGCTAATCTGTATAACAGCCGATATTTAGTTGATTTTTTTTTGGCTATTTGTTTTGTATGTTAATAATCATTTGATGACTTGTTGATAAAAATAAATTTTATATCTTCCTTTCATTACGTTTTTAAAACTACCATGTCAAACTGATTTGCTTACAAAAGCAGTAAAAGCTTAATAAATTAAAAAAAGTCAGGGTTTTTTTTTTTTTGGTTCAGTCCTCTAATTACTGGTAATCTGATGCGTCTGGATAGGGCTCTAAAAAAAACTACAGGCTCGGTCCGGTGCGGATTTATTAGACCCGAATGCAACTCTACCGTGTACCACGTTAAATCGGTGTGAGGTCTCTCAGCACAACCAGAATTAATACAGTACAAAAGGTGCATGGGATTATATGGTTCACTGTCTATTTTTGAGAAAATTAAAGGATTTTAAGTGCGCCTTATAGTCCGAAAAATACGGTCCATGTTTTCTTTTATTTGCTGTGATTTTTTTTTAAGCTTTTTTACAATTTATAGTAATTTATTTTAGACAGCGCCACTTTTCCCACTTAGGCCGTGCAGCATTTACTTACAACAAGTGACAACTTTTTCTGGCATTTACGGTAATTCATGCTAAGTGACGCGGCGTTTCTAGCAACTCCGGTAATTCTCACATCTGACCCATGGTTTCTTTTTGCAGAGCCACGGATGCAGGTACGAGCATGAGAAACACTATTTGATGAGAGAAGAAAACTAGCATGACATTCACTAAGAGAACCTAAATAAATCTATTCTGCACCTTTGCTAGACAATTATGAGGTCTGCAACCTTTTGGATCAAATAAAACGTGTCTGGAGCAACAAAACCTGCGACTGTGATTATCAACTGATGGCCCATGGGCCGCTGAGTTTGTTGTAGGAGGGCTTTTATGGCCAGTGGGGGCGACATTATAAAACTAAAATTATATAATAAATCTTAACATTTATTGATATTTTTACATTTTAAGACAAAAAAAGAACAAATGTAAATAAGGACAATAATGATAGTTTATACCATCCTTCCATCACAAAAAAATTAAAACACTGAACTCTGCAGGCCTAAGTGAGGAATAATAAATAAGTATTGGGGCGGGGCTGCAGTAGAGCTGTCATTTCTAACCCGGGCCCGAAGCCCGGCTTGACCTGAATTGGGGCCGGGTCATAATAATGTGCTGGATGGGCGGGCTGGGTCGTTGTCCGGCTTTTGATTGCGTCAGCGGATGCGCGTGGCTGACGATCCAATTATATGACAACATGGCTTTCCATACCTTCACCAGCTGCACGCGGTCATTTGACCACTAACTGACCGACCTTGAAAGAGGTAAAATAAAAGTTCATTTAAGCTTCAGATGTGACAATACAGCCAGGAAGTGATCCATCACCCAAATGGATGTTCAGCCGCTGGACTCCGCGGACTCACGTGGCCGACGACCCAAACAGGTGAGATCCCAAAGCAGACATGTCAAAGCAGGGTCCGTGTCTGAATAATGCAGAATGCAGGCAGAAGCAGGGATTCAATGCACTTTGACGGCCATGAAAGTACAAACACCCGCTCAGCTCCGATCTTCTGCTCCCTTAGCCGCGCACGTCCACCAACCGTTAATAACTATAAGCAGTCAAAGATTAATTAATAATGTCGGGGGGGCGTGTTCGGACTTGTAATTACTGTTAATTCATCGGGTCGGGTGGGGTTTGGAAATGATGGCTACAGACTGGGGCCAGGTCAGGTCGGATTTTTGGGGGGCCTGAATGCAACTCTAGGCGGAGGTAACTTGGTAGCCAGCGCCATGGTCTTGTAATCCTGAGGTTGTGGGTTCGAGTCCAGGTTGTGTTAGGAAGGGCATCCAGCATAAAATAAATTGCCAAATCTTCCATGTGAGTGGTGACCCCAGAAGAAGGGACCAGCCTAAAAAAAGTTGCTTAATACTTCAACAAATTCCTGTGGGATCAATAAAGTTCTTATCTTATGTTAATTATCAAGCAAAAATGTGACAATGCCCAAACTAGCGTTTTCTGTTGTGGGTGTAAAAATCAATACAATTAAATTTCATTAAGCTCTGGTCAAAGCTTCAAAGAGCCAGTGATGAGGGATCAAAGAGCCACGTGTGGCAGGTTGCAGACCCCTGGCTCAAATGATGGAGCTGCAGTTGCACTCACACACCACCAGGGGTCAGAAACTAGCTGCAGAGACTGGACAGAGCAATTGTTTTTGTTGGTTTTCCATGCACGTGCTCAATTCTTTCTATACTTGTGAGATCTAAATCTGAAGTGCTTGTTCCTGTGAGGGAGGAAGTTTATGAAACTGTGCGTTAAATGAAAGCATGGGTTGTGACTTCCCTGCAGCCAGAGGGTAAGGAGAGGCGACCTGGTTAATATTTGTCATGGGGAAAAAACGCTCTTCAACTCAAAAGAAAAAATAAAATCCAGCAGGCCAGGAGGAGTGCTGGAGTGAAAACAGTGTGCATGTGAGTGTGTTGGGTAAGCAGCTCCTCTGTATTTTACAATCACACACACCCACTCAGTCACATGCACACACAAAAACACACACACCCATGAATAATCCTTGTAGAGGCAAAGATTAATTTCTGT